TGACACCTGCAGCAGTCTTCAGTACCGACGGCAATAGTGTGGTACGGTTGTGAACGACTACCGCCTGACGAGAACGGACGGTTATTGTCCACTTTCAATGACGGGACGAAGCATACTTTTCATGGCAAATTGTGCCATGTTGGAAATCACAATAGCTACCTAGGATGATTCTATTAAATTCAACAAAGTGCTTCTACTCCCCATAACTTCTTGTGACAGAGACCACATAGCCGACCGAAGGTTGAGGTTCCTGTGATCAGTGTGCAGCGGAGGTGGGGCAGCTTCTACAGAGTGAATATGTGATGAGCTCATGAATTTGGAGGGTGATGCCGTCTACACTGCGGCAAGAGGATCATAGAACATGCTTCGGTTATTGCAGAAGTCTGACGTTTTATTGCGGCTATATCTCAGAGATTGTGAATCCGAGTTCTTTGTACGCAACGCAATGTTAAATCAGGGTGGGTGATCCATGACTCTTGACTCCTCGACCAACTGTTATAGTCAGTGCCTTTTTCGGAAGGCAAGAGGTCTAGATGGTAGTTGCGTGCGAGGTGCGCCACAATCATTCTGATCATCAAGTCAGCGGCGTACCGTCCCAAACACTGCCTCGGGCCAAAGCCGAACCTCCAGAACAAGTATCGTCTTGCCCGAGTATCCTTGTATGTGTTGTTCAAAAACCGATCCGGGCGAAAGTGCTCATTGTCAGGTGCCCACGCCTCGTTGCGCACGTTGAGGGCGTACGTATCCACAACAAAGCTGGTGCCAGCAGGTATCACGTATGCTTTCCCGGGCGCTATGTCAATTCGACGCGAAGTTGGTGCTGCTTGCGGAACGGTGAATGCAGCTAAAGGTCGCAGGCGACTTGACTCGAGGGTGCAGCAGGCTAGAAACGTAGAACGCCCCTCGCTGAGGTAGCGGGCGAATGCTTTAGTATCCTTCTCATGGCTGCACGCTGCGTCGATTTCGGTCCTCAAGCGCTCCTGGTCATGTTGATGGGCCGCCAAGAAGACGGGCACCCACGATAATCCACCGATGGTTACGTCCAAGTTGGCGAAAAGGGACTCGTCCAATGTCTGAAGTAGTTGGTCCTCATTCATATTGCCCGTGGCTACAGCATCGTACATGGCGATAATCGGCGGTGGCGGACCCCTTTCCTGAAGCGCATATGCCAAAGCCATCTGGTTGAACTCTTTCCACGACGACTTGAACCTCGCGAGTTCGGCATTCGCGGCGGTAGGAAAGAAGCGAGCCCAAGAGAATCTGTATAAGCCTCCTCGTATGACATGATCGTTGAATATGTGAGTGCGAAGGGGCACCAGGTCTTCCAGCAACTTGATAACTTCAGGCGGGAGCCGACCATAAAACTGGAAGTAACTTCATGTCAGAACTTGCTCTTTGTTTCTGCGGATATCGCATTGAAAAAGTCTCCACTTAATGGGAGATGTACGTTAGACCCGGAGATCCAGCCGGAAGTCGATGGCAGGTACATGTAATAATGGCTAACGGGAAACATCATACCATTTCAGCAATGATCCGGAAAGGCAGCATCGCCAGATCGTTGACAGGGTGCAATAACCCATTCGCCAAATTGCTCTCGCCTTGAGCATGTAAATCTGCAAAGTGCTGCTGCACAAGGCGCCGGAAGTTTTCAACTTGCGAGGCCACATGGTTGCGCTGGAAAGGAGCTTCCATTGCGCCGCGCACGGCTCGCCAGTCTGGTCCGCTGATCAGTCCAAGACACTGACCCAAAAGTTGGTTCATGTAGAAACCAGAGTTGTTTGCCGGCGCCTTAGAATGCTTGTCCGAATCTTTGAACACCTCCTGGAGCTGATGAGGTCTTGTCAACACACTGGCGGACTTAAATGTAAGTAATGCCCCAAAAAGAGGAAAGCAGACGCACATTTCCGGCTGCATCCCAGACCAGATGCGGTACACGACCCCATACTGCTCCCTCCAATCTTTGGAATTCTCAATACCGTGTAGAAATTTCGCAGTATCTCCTTGTCCGTTTGGCCACACGTAGGGACAGGAAGGGATTGAAGTTTGTTTGCCAGCGATATTCAACACGGGAAACCGCAACTCTAGAAATTGCTATTTCGTGTTAATTAGATTGCCACTCCAAGTCCAAGGCTACTTACATTGATTATCTTGGAAAGTAGAGTTCGTGACCATTGCGTAGATCTTCTGCGGAAACGAACATCCAAAATCCCCGCGATAAGTGCTAGGGTGCATATGATTGCAACATTCTGTACTGAAAGGCTCATAATCATCGTCGATGCAATTGTAGTCAATGGACATATCTTGTTTGACTCCATCCACAATTCTTCCCACAGAACTACCGAGCTATGCCTTCAAAAACAGAACGTGACATTTCTGGGTGAGTCCGGCTCAATCTCACGACCAGGCTTCCTATTCGGGCAAGTCAAAATACTGACGGATTCCCCATGACCGCTGAAAGTCCGGAATTCCCCATACTTGCCGCATTGAAGAGAATTTGTGTGAGTGCCGTTTCTTTTCAGACGAATTAAGATTTTCGCATGCGGATAAGGTTCTGTTCGAGATCGTCTGAACAACCATTGTGGGACAACCACCGCTTCAAACATGACGCACTCTGGATGCCGAAGTCAAATTGCATCCCACACAGTTTTCGGTGCCTGTTGAAGTTCCAGGTAGACATGGGGAACTTACACAAACATTATGACTTATGCTGGAAATTCAAATGTGATAATTGTAGACTGTTGCTGCGAAACGAGATTTCAAAGTCTCGCAGACATAGTTCGTTCATGGCCTGAGTTCAATCGCACTAACCCAGGCGTTTCTCAGGATGTATATGCTCTGCACCTTCCAACCAGAAGTTTCAGCCAGTTGCCTCCATTCTTTCTCAGTCCGCTCACGTCCTTTAGCAGTCATCAGCATCTGTACGTCCCCATACTGCGCCAACCTCCCCATTGCCCCATCTTGCAACACCGCATCTAGCACCACTAATCTAGACTTTTCCTGAACTACTATAGCATCGCGTATGTTTTGAAGAATTCTCTTCACGTCTGGATCGAGCCAGTTATGTAGACACCACTTCATGACGTAAACCTCATAACGGGGAATCGGACCGGCGAGAAAGTCTCCTGCAACAAGATCTTCTGCTGATACACGATCGCCGACATCGGAGAATTGGCCATCATCAGAGTGGAAAAATGGTCGAGTGTGATCTATGACCGCAGGTAGGTCCAAGATTCCGCCTCTCACTAAGGTCATGGTCAGATGGAACTCATTTCCGTTGAGAGGCATAGTTGGCCGGGACCAGCCCCCAACGCGTGAAAGGAAAACATGATGACCACTCACTAGTCGGATATTCTCGTAGTAAAGAAGCAAGAAGTGCGCCACCGCCGCCGCCGATGTCCAGTATCACTCGGTCGGCCACGTCATGCCAGGGGTAGTCGGCGAGAATCCCAGCTGCCTGTGCAATTTGACTTGCGTTGAAGGCTCGGTGCACCCGCGGTAACCAACCACGCTTTTGAAAATAGGTAAAAATATCGTCATCAGTGTCGTAGTTGATTTGAGCTGCGGTGCGGGTGGAACCAGTGCGTAGTGAGTCTGGAATGCCGCGTGCCATGTCATAGAATTCAGTAGCATACAACTCCACCCAGGTATGCCACTTTGTCCAGTGATCGGATTTCAGGAGATTGGACCGCGAATTGTTGGTATAAGTGTCACTTGCGGCATCGTAGACGAACAGGCCGTTGTTGTATAGCAATCTCATCACAGGTCGCAACCGGTCCTCACGAGCCCCAGCGCTCTCCGCTAGCTGAGAAACTGTCAAACCGGGGCGCTGGCCAAGAATGTCTGGAATCTTCAATGAGACTGCAGCGACGAGGGATTTACTACTCAGGTAATAACCTAAGGCAAGACAGATCAGTAACGACTTTGTAAATGACAAAGATAGGAACAAACCCATGAAGTGATCTGCAAGAACCAGTTGCGATGGTTGCAGCATCTGTTTGGCGTCTTCTAGGATATCTACCACTTGTGCCGCTATCGTTCCAATCTCCCTATGCGGCAGAGCCGCCGGATCGTGGAGTGTGGCATTGAGCTCTACCTGCGTCGCTGGCTCTTTCAATGTACTGATTAGATCTGACAGAGCTCCTTTCAGAGACGTAAGCTTTTCCACCGTATTGGTTCGATCGCTGGTGCCGTTTGGCATATTGGAGTCGGATGGTGCCATGCTGAGCAAAATGTGTTGGTGGAGACGACTGCAAGAATCCAGTGGTGCACGTTTAAGGCGGAGAATCAGCAATATTAAGAACGAGAGTTCGTGGTGTGAACATTATCAACTGTCGAATTACGTCGAATTGCACTTTGTTGTATGATCCTGCGCACGTTTGAAGCCATCAGATGAACTCAAATGCTCAATCAAGGTTCGCCACGCTGTCACCTGTGCGCCATCACGCAATGCGGTCTCAGTCAGACAGCAGATGATTACTGCGATATGAAGCTCAAGACGTCTGTGTCAAGCCAACATAACGGCCGGCGCTAAAAGGTTTCACAACGTCCGTCTACCCGAAAGTACATTTTGCGGATGTCCATGGCGAAAGGTACAGATGACAACTGTGCACCTCTGCATTACGCTATTTCCCGTACTTTTCATGTCTCAACTGCTGCGTAAATGGGATGAAGAAAACGATCTAGATTTCACAGCAAGGTAGGGGCAGCTCCATGGAGCTATACATATGGGTAGCAAAATGACCCTGAAGTTCGGAATTTGGTAGAAGCAAGCCCGAACACGGCAGATCGAGGGCATCGTTATCCATAACATAGCTCCAACTCATAAAACCGACAAAATGCCTTTGAAAATACTCATTTCAGGAGCCGGGGTAGCCGGCCCATCTCTCTCGCTCTTTCTGCTTCGCGCAAACCCACTACATCATGTTACGATTATCGAACGTTCGCCAACTTTACGCAAGGGAGGACAACAGATAGATTTGCGTGGGCAGGGTATTCCGGTTATGCAGAAGCTGGGACTTTTGAATGCCATCAAGGCTCGCGCCGTTGCCGAGGACGGCATCGCCTTTGTTGACGCCCGCTCTGGCAAGCGGTGGGCTGTGTTTGGAAAGAACGACTCAGGCAAGGGCCGACAGGCCTTTACCAGCGAGTATGAAATCATGCGAGGTGATCTTGTGGACGTGATATACCAAGCTACTCTTCAGCAAGCACGCATTGCAAGGGCTCAAGGAGGTCTGACATACAAATTCGGCACGTATGCGACAGATATACAACAGTTCGAAGACGGCGTGAGCGTGACACTCTCTGACGGGAAGGTGGAGAGATTTGACTTGGTAGTCGGAGCGGACGGCCAGTCTTCCAAGACTCGACGACTTACCTTCGGCCAGGACTTAAGCAGCGAGGTCTTCGAGTTCTCCGGGGTGAACTTTGCGTTTTTCAGCATGCCCGGGGACCGGAACGACACTCCCACAGCACAGGCCTGCTTGGTACCGAACCGGCGATTTATGTCCATACGTACAGGAGGGAGGCCTTCCGCTCAAGGATACCTCGGAATTATGGGAAATGCTTCATCCTGGCGAGGCTTAACCGCTGGCACCATCGATATGCAAAAGCAGCTCTGGGCAGAAACATTCAAAAATACAGGATGGCAATCGGAACGCCTGATTAGAGGACTCTTGAACACTGATGACTTTTATGCTCAACGACTAGGACAAATCAAGATGAAAAGTTGGTCTCAGGGCAGAGTCACCTTGCTTGGAGACGCTGCATACTGTCCAAGTCCGATGAGTGGCATGGGTACAGCATGTGGTATTGTTGGCGCCTACGTCCTAGCCGGTGAGATCACCAGACACGAACATGGGAACAATCTCAGTGCCGCCCTACAATCTTATGAAAAGATTTTGCGACCCTTTATCAGCGAGGCCCAGAAGTTACCATTGAGCGGGCCTGGGATGATTTACTTGAAAAGTCCATGGAGCGTGTGGACGGCCAATCGACTGCTTGGAGCTCTATCTTTCCTCAGGATAAACGAGATGGTGAATAGACTGATGCCGGAGGATAAAGGCGGATGGAAAGTACCCGACTATCCAGAACTGAACTTGGGAGAGTAGTTACAACCAGACGAACCGAGAGGAAATTTCTCTCAAGTCGTGACGGACGAGTTCGTGCCATGAAGCCTCAATTAAAAACAAATTTCACAGCCTACAGCAATGACTTTATATGTACAATAGTTGATATTAACTTAGGTTTGGTTGCCTGGGGCCCACATGTGTCAGGATGTGATGCGTCTCTGCCCGTAGACTACAGTAAAACGTAGTCGAGCCCCGACTTCCTCGACTTCCTGCTGCAGTTGGGAAGGCAATGTCATCTCATCAGATTTGATATAAGTGTTAGGTGAAGCCACTGTTTTCGTTAGATGAATTCGACATGGTGTTGCGACGTAAGAAAATGGTATTCATACCCCTGGCTTGGGCCAAAACTGGTCCTACGACTTGCGATAGACTCCTAGTACTCTTCGCCCTGAGGTCCTCACCTCCTTGATTCTTCGCCCCGTAAAAGACGTCTACCGAATGCTGCTTTATATTCTCAAGGTCGATGTTTTCCATGGCAGTCTTGAGGTGGACCGAAAGATTTGGGCCGAGGCCGCCTGCTTCCGAATTCTGCTGGTGATAATACAACAATCGCCGTAAAGCCGGCCCATTCTCAGGAGTACAGTCATTGTCAAGCTCCACAAGTTGCAACCAACCCCCAGGACGGAGCAAGCCTCCTAATTCGGCAACGACAGAGGTAATGGTTGTCGCAGGAGGCGCCACTGCCGCCATGACTAGGCGCTGATGTACAATATCGAAGGTCCCGTGCCACTTAGTTGGGAAAGAATCAAGGATGGACTGATTAAAAAATTCAATGTGTGGGGGTGGTGACTTGGGATAAAGACTGGGATTGATGTCGGTCCCGACATAATGGTAGGTGCCAGCGTCGGCTCCATTTGCGTCCAAGTACTGTCGCAGGTCAAATAACCAGCGACCATCGCCGGCGCCGGAATCTAAGACTCGCAAGTATCGCCGAGAGAAGTTGACGGGAGCAAGAATGGCTCGGTCACCCATGGCGTGCAAAAGCACATCGTGCTGATCATGAAGACGAGCGGATTCCGACTTGTTGTCATCACAGTCTTTGGTGTATTTGATGTAGCCTTGCATCTTGTAATATCGAGTGTATGCGCCTGCTTCGGATAATTGTTAACCTTACCGGAGTCCTGACGGCGAGACGGCCGACCTTTACCAGTTTCCACGACCACACTAGCGCTCCAAGGATGGTAATCCCCAGGGGCGACCCGCTGGGGAAGTCCATTCAACTCGGCAGTCAATTCCGAAGGCGGCGAAAAGTGTAGACCCGTTTCGTGGTGTTGTTTGAGAGGTTCAGCTGAATCCGCCGCCGTGTCAACGACATGAAACGTTTCTATCAAATTGTTGTCAAAGATAGGACGATGTGCAGACATCTAGACGTCAAGATGTTAATGTGGGAATTTGGCTATTTTGGACGGGATCAAGCACGCGAGCCCACCCATACAGGCGGAATCATGAATCGAGCGATCGCGATTACGGCGAAGGCCAGTTGATAAACCTGATGGCTTACCCACCTAACGTGGCTACCGGTTTAGGCAGTCGAAGAGTCCTCCGGTGGCACCATCGGACTGCCGGATATCATCCCTTCATCCCTTTCTACATTCAGTAAAAAAGAACTGTTTCGTGGCAATTATGGCGGCGTCCGGAAGTGAACGACTCAAATCGGGTAGGATTACTGCGAGAGTGTCAGAAAAGCCATTCGAAAACATGCTTTTGGTTTTCTAAGGCTCAATTGCTGATATCGCGAGGTTGCAATACGACTCTGAAGGAAGTCCTTCTTATCAGAAACTTTTAGAATGGAATATACAACAGGCCTACAACTACTAGCAACGGTGTTGCGAGTGGGTGTGGAATCGATCCTCCAGGACCAGAGTTTCACTACCAATGGCGGAGACTCCATGGCTGCTCTTCGATTTTGTATGGAGTGCAAGCGGAATGATATCTTTGTCCCCGTTGATCGTGTTCTCTCGAGCGGCTCTGTTACGGAATTGCTGCGGCAATGCCGACCAGTATCTGTCTACAAAAACGGCAAGCACCCGCAAATTCGGACCGGCCACGATGCAAGTATTCGCGACAACGAGCCCACGAGACCAAGAGAACACTTTCGGGAGGTCGGCAGCAGAAGTCGACTTGACGAAAAACCTGCGTTATGGCGCGAAAACAGAAACGAGTCCAGTCTACGCAACGCAATCGACGAGTCCTTGGAATCCAACGCCGGCGGGCTACGCCCTATCCTGACTTTCACAGACGAGTTCTGCACCGGCAACCATACAGTATGCGACATGTCAGATATTCAAATATCTCTTGTTCATGGGAGTCTGGAATCACCCGGAGCGAACATAATCTACTACAGCGAGATCCACAATCCGAGCCATATTTTCCGTCTCAGAGAAGCCTGGATGAAAGTTTGCAGAGCAGAACCTATTTTCCAAACAGCATACCGTATCCCAGACGATGGACAGGAGATTCGTCCTCGACTTTGCTGGCGAGAGTTCAAAACAAAGAGCCGAACAGCCTACAGGAACGCGTTGCTTCAAGCAACTGGGCCAGGAATGCCTTGGCCCGACAACAATGGAGTCGATTTCGGCCTGCGATTTACCGTTCTACACTACCGTACGAGACGACCAGCTGATAGTAAAGCCGCTGTGATCTGGGCGATTCATCACGCTTTGATTGATGGCTGGTCTGCCGGCCTCTTGGTCCAGAAAGTGCACCAAATGGCGTCCGGGAAACCTGTATCCGCGCACCCTGGGCAGGCCTACGTAGATCTCTGCCGATTTCAACAAGAATTGAGATTGAGTCGAAAGGCCGAGGGAGATCTATTTTGGGCGGAGCAAAGTATCAAGTTAGCGACAGCTTGCGATGAGCTCCTTATTGCAAAGGCACCAAACGCTCCTGCATTCACCAACAATGTATGGGGCAAGAGGGACGAGATGCAGGTTCCTGTCGAACTTGCTCCCACCGATCATGCTGCTGTCAAAGTTGCAGCACAGTCCTGCGGTGTCACTCCGGCCGCCTTCTTCTATGCTGCCTGGGCAGTTTGCCTCGGGCTTTACGCAAGTTCGGACAGTGTTGTCATCGGCGCAGTTGTGTCGGGCCGCAACATTGGGCTTGCCGGTATCTTCGACACAATAGGCCCCATGGTGAACACATTGCCACTCCAGGTCGATCTTGACTGGCAATCTTCATCTCGAAAGCTGGTGGAGGATGTTTTTGCTCGAATCAAGCGGTTATCTTATTTTTCATGGACCACGCCGAATAACGGATTCTCTAGAGTAAGGGGAAATTTGATGGCTTTCACACCCAATCCCGAATCCTGGGTCAAGGGTGCTGGGGTTGAACAGTCCTTTTACAGACACACAACGAACTTGCCTCTCAACGCCATCGTCAAAGAAGATGGAGGTGGCATGGTCATCCAATACTCTGCTGAGCGCTATACCAAGAAGGCGATGGAAACACTTGCAAGCATTTTCAGAGCATCGCTCTTGTCACTTTCCCGCACCGAGGCAAGTCTGGAGTCATTACAACCTGTGCTGCAGACGTGCGGACGGAGTTTGGGCTTGATGGGCAACTGGAAGTCATTCGAAACGACAGTTCCATCCGTTAGAGACGATCTCGTGACGTTATTTGAGGACATTTCAACACATTACCCTGGCGCGATCGCCGTCGAGTGTGGAGATCAAACGATCACCTATTGTGAGCTAGAGAGGCTTTCTGGCTGCGTCGCTTCAAAACTTATTCAAGTGATACAACCTCAAGAGGTAGTTGCCGTGCACGCAGATGGTTCCGTCAACTGGGTTGTGTCCATTTATGGCATACTACGAGCTGGAGGCATCTATTGCCCTTTGGACAGATCGCATCCTCAAAGGTACCGCGAATCCCTTTTTAAGGCATCAACTGCACGGGTTTTTCTATCTACAGACAAGCGCTCAATGGCCAGTATACCGGCTGCAGCTGAAATTGTAATAAATGTTGCCGCCGCCGTGGAAGATGTGGAGGCGACGTTGTGCTATGATTTTCATTTTCCAATGAGAACGGCACCTCGACCAGCAGACAAGGCGTACCTCTGCTTCACGTCCGGCTCAACCGGCAAGCCTAAAGGTGTCATCTGCACACATCGAGGTCTTGTCGCTTTCCAGAGAAACCTGGAAGTCCGCTTGGGTGCATCCGTTGGGGTCAGGATTGCACAAGTCATGTCCTTGGCTTTTGACGGTGCCATACATGAACTGTTTTCAGCTCTTTCATACGGAGCTACACTCGTTCTGCGGGAGACGGACAGTCCAGCAAGTGTACATCATCTTTATGCTGTTGATTGTGCCATTCTTACCCCATCTTTGGCATCTGTGCTGGACCCGGACGATTTCCCACAGCTAAGGACTGTGTATCTGGTCGGCGAAATAGTACCACAGACTGTGTGCGACACATGGGCTTCCAGTAAGACCGTGTACAACATGTATGGGCCAA